GGGGCTGGACGAGAATGAGACCAGAAAAATGAAGAGAGGGGCGTTCGGACGAGCTATACAATGTGTCTCACTGCGTACGTGTGGGTCCTGGTACAAATGACAGACTACGGTAAGCAAATTCATTCACATATAAGCACAAGGAAACAAAAAAACCCTAATAACAGCAAAGGTAGTAGCTCACCTTTTTCAGCCTCTAGGAGTAGGAAATTAAATAAGGGATCGCGGCAGCAAAAAGAATAACAGAGGAAAAAAGAGTGGGAGAAAAACACCGTCTCATCACTCGGCGACCAACCGATTGTGTGTGGGTCCTAGAACGAATAGTTGCAATCTGTATTGTCTCGACACCCTCTGACGTGGTGACGTGACATCGATCGAGAGGCAGGAAGCCATTGACGTTCCCGCCCATTGAAGTATCGTGAACTGTGCCTTTAAAGATCACAAGTCAGACCCTAGATGAAGCAGAAACCAAGCCTTGCAAAAATTGCAGAAAATGCTGTCGCATCAGAACCAGGCTCACATTGACGAGCCGGCTCATAGAGAAGCCCTGTCACATCTCAATGCTATAGTCTTTGAAGGAACCAGTATGAAGGCTAGGACGTCATCTGGAAGTGACACACAGGATCCACGCCTGAGTTCTGTGGAAAGTATGCGAAAGCTGCAAATGTCCACGGCCAAAGAAGCTTGATCGATCGATTGGGACTCTAAACGTGGGATCGCCTACTGTGAGATCCCGATAGGTCGCTTGTATGTAATTAGCGGTAGCGGAGACCCACAGAGACTCTTCGATATCAGCAGGGTCAGTGGATCGTGGCTGTGAGAATAAACATAAAAGAAAAGGAAACATGAAAGAAAAGAAGAAAGAAAGAAAGAAAGAAAGAAAGAAAGAAAGAAAGAAAAACATGAAAAAACACTAAGCAGTAATATCCGTGTACCCACCCCTGACCGGTTGCCCCGAGTTTAAAGAGGTTGACTTCTATAGGCGTTCACAATCTAACAGATTAGTTTCAGAAGAGGATCATCTCACCATAGAGGGTGACCTGAACGGTCACGTTGACAGTCGGAGGGGCAGTCCTAGGAAGGGGTCAAGAAGTAAGTGGAATAGGCGTTAGTAACAAAGATGAAGAGGGAGTCCTCGTCCTGACCACAGTCCACGATTTGTCATACTGCAACACCTTGTTCGCGAAAAGGAAGGAACAGAAGGAAACCTATAGCAGTCGAGGAAAACAAGGCGCATCAATGTTTTTCGGATCCGCAAAGGCCGGCCCAGCAAACATAGGGCAACGCAGCAAAGGTCATCCTGCAGCGTTGCAAAAGAAACAGTGGATGAGGCGCGAGTTAGATTCAGAAGAGACAAAGCACCGTTGCTCTGGAATGATGATGTCAAAAGATGATAAAGCAGAAAAAGGAACCGTGCATACAAGCCCATGCAAAGGAGACGACCAGCTGTCTACAGAAGAGGTCAGCCAAGGCAAAAAATACCTAGATAAATGCCTTGTACGAGAATTTCATCAGAGTAAAAGGAGAGTAGCTCGTCAACTGTCATTTTTTTTCGTGATGTCCCTCGAAAATTTCAAAAAAATTTCATACACCCCAAACACGTCATCCGCATCAGTTTTGAATTCAGCTCTTCGAGCTGGATCCGGAAAAGTTTTCGATTGAAAGAGGCGTTCAGCCATTTAAGCATGAAGAGACTATGACATTTGAGTGCTTCCTCATTCCTTGCTGAAAGACGTCTACAATTGTATAGTTCATAAAGTTAATCCGCTTTAAGATCTTCAGGTGGAACACCTGCGGTCCGCCAATCAAAGCTCACGTCAAACGGCGAGTTTTGATTCTCTTTCGTTAGTTTTTCAACTTTTAGTGATTGGATTTTGACTCGTGGCTAATGAACTATAGGGTAACTGTCTAGCGAACGCCTTACGCGCATCCAAAAAGCTTCATCAGAAAACGATGACGATATAAGTTCAACCCGGGTTGAAGACGATCGCTAATATGGCTATGACTACATTTTATGTAGTATAGACCCGGAGTTACAGTTTAATTAGCTGATATGCCAAGGTGGTCCTTTATGGAGTAAGTGCTACGTTTATTTGCGGAGTGATATCTAAGAAACTACCCGCAGCAAACCGCAATGACTGTCTACAATCCCTAAAAGCTAACTTAAATGTGTCTTATCATTTCTAACCTTAAAAATCCAAACCAACGACCTCGCACGTACGGAGCCACGCTGCTGTCCGCTGCGTTCTCGAACCACATGTTCGTGGCTCACTTAGGTTCATCCTATGAAATACATTTCAACCCTTCCGACCATCTAGAAGTGAAGATCCTCGTACACTCATCTCATGTATCCACTATTATAAACTTAGGCTGAGTTGATGAACTTGGATTAGTTCTAGTCTAGAAGCCCAAATCGGCTGAAACCTTTTGTGATGGTAAAATGGCAAAAATCTTTTGCACTAGGCTGCAAGAGTTCATGCTCATTTGAGCCGAAATCGGCCGATAGGGTTGAGTATCTCGACTTTCCAGCAGCGTCCATACTCTATATGATTGGACCCTGCCGGAGGACCGAGGAGCTTGAAGCATGTGCCCGTCAGGCCGCAGCTATGTCGCGCAGAACGGATCTTCCTTCAAATTTTGATCCGAGCGTTGTGGGTTGAACGTCAGCCCCGCAACGCCTTTTTAGCATCTGCTACGGGATGCTCTCTGTACGTGTTTTTCAGATATCTTTCTATTTTCCTTAAAAAATAATTTAGTTGCCTTAAAGCTCAAAACAAGACATTCCTTGAAAAAAAAATTACGTTCATGTTCTATGAACTCATGTTTATGACTCATGTGCCTCTGCTTGTTGAGAGCTGCTGTAATAGAGATTTTTTGTTATGATCTCTGTAAAATAGCTTGTATTTCACAAGGCAGGTCTTGTGAAGGAGAGAGACTAATGCTAGGGAGAAGAAGAGGGAAAGAGACACTTTTATTCACAATACTTCCAATTTCTCATCGTCATACAGATATTTAACATCGCCACACAAATGTAATCGCAAAAGGAATCTATATTAAACATGGAAAGAATATGATAAATAGACTAAGTCTCACTTGACATACTTATTCCTCAGTGAAAGACCTATTGAATAGCACTCACATATGGAGAAAATAGGGCAATGCCGAAAGGGAATACAAGCTAACGTCACTACTCATTTCAAGCCTTTGCTTCTAGCACAATGATCAAGAGGACATATGCCTGGGCAGTATCAGTTCATCAACGGGTATGCAAGTATACTGAGTTAGCTTTAGTAGTTTTCCCTCGTAACCGATAGCTAAACTGGCAAGCTTTGAGAATAATAAGCGTGTTGGACGTCTTCCTCACGATATCTTTCCCCAGTCGAACTCCTGTCGTCATCATCGGTATGACGAGTTTCGTGCACAAATCTGCAACAATGTTAAATCAGCTCAATAAAAACACGTTTCACTTATCTGACAACTATCGGATTGATGGAAGACAAAGTACATAGTAAACTGGCCAACAGGATGAATCCTCGAAATTTGCCATTTACCCCACTTCCTCACTTTCGCTGTTTCTGCATGAACTTTTTCTGGAATTGGGCTGCGGTTCCTTTTCAAGCCTAAAGATGTGCAGTGATTGTCTCTGCACCGGTTCTTCTAGCAGCCCTCCTCAAAGCGATAGTAAGCGCAGTAAAGCACAAAATATTGTAGTAGATTTCCTCCAAGAACTGCTGGTTGAATGATAAACAAAAAGCTGGTCGAGAAGGTGCAGCGGCAATTTGGCCTAGATGGCCATTTCGTAGAGCTGTGAAGATTCTATGAAACGTAGGTAGCACCATCAGCACTGCGGTTGCTCCATTTTTTGACTTCGACTTATTTTTCTTATTTAGAATTTTGAAAAGCTCAACTGGGTTACGAACCAATTTTATTTCTTGAAGATTCTCAGAAAGTGCAGGAAACCATTGATTTAACAGCGAACTTGTCCAAAGAGTGGCAACTGCCTATGCAGCACAAAAAACGGTGTCCATGAATTCGAAGTCGGAACTCCGTCTCACTCAAGATCGTTTACGGTTGATTGTGTTCTACTATGCGCGGTAGAGTCTGTTGAAGACTTAGGCTTTCATCATAGCAATAAGGTAGATTTTTCGGTGCATATCAAAAGAGGAGTCAAAATAGTCCAGCTTCATAATCATGCAATCGGAAATGTACAAAACGAGTTTTCACGTGAGTAACCTAATCGTATAGGAGGGACCCTGTACTCCAAGACACCAAAGGCTCCAATCATGAAGCGGCACCTGGTTCTTTACTACTATCAAGGTGCAGAATTTTTGATTTTTGCATGGTCAGGATGACAAGCTTAATTAGGAGAAGAGATCCTCGAATATTGCGCTCACAAGAACTAAAGCGAACCTGCGTATCATAAACTTTTTCTACAGAGCTGGTAGCTGTTTCGCGAGTTTAGCAAACATTGCACCAACCACTCTATCACTTGCTCGATTCATAAGTAGTATGGCCACCTTTTTACCTAGGTATGATGACCTAGCATTTTATGAGTCTATTTATCAAATATAGTTACAAACTATTATCTATGCTTACATCCTTAGAGATTTCGAGTAGACTTTTCCATTGCTTTGACGTATTTTGTTCAATTGCAGTTACTCACTGTATTCTTTTTTCATTGTGCTTCTCGCGAACGTGAAGCGAAAATCTGCTACTATTAGAGCCGAAAAGTAAATGAGCTTTCGGGATATGGTTACTCGTTCACGGCATTATTGGCTTGAAAACCGTAGTTAGTAAAGGCCTACTCTCGGTTGGTATTGGCAAAATATGAGACTAATCCAGTGGCCGTCTGGCAGTCAGCCTTGTGATTTAGTACTGCTGAGATGAAATACTCTGCATGGTTTCATTCGCGCCTCATAAAATTTGCACGAGTTGAGATCAACCTCTATGGCTCTGATTGTGAGATATAATCGCAACTGTTCCAGAGAAACATGCATTTTTTTTCAATGCTGCTGTGGCAGTGAACATGACATGGCGAGGTGAACCTTAAATGGGAGTGAATAGTTAATGAATAAAGAATAAGTGCAGGTGTAGTTCAAGAACTGCAGAAAGCAGCTTTTGGTAGGTTGGAATGTTTTGAGAAGCAGACCTGGATGTGTGAGTTCGCTTGACATCCCTTTCAACCACGTCGTAATCCTCATCTTCGCATACGTGACGTCGTTGTTCACTAAAACCAATACACCAAATTCATATGATTTGATAGTCATCGCGATAAAGCGCAGAGACTATTCAACTTCGGAAAGGATTTGTGTTAGAGTAACGTTGATAGGTGCCGATAGCGCTTTTTCAAAATCTACATATGCTGATAATATAAAAATATCACTTGTATTTCGGAGCCCATTTTATCAGCTATTGCCCACAATTGCAGGAACTGGTGCATTAGGATAGAAACCATAAGCATTGCCTGGTAAAATACTCAAAAAAGGAGCTGACCTCCTGCCTTGTCTGCTCTTCAGGTGGTCTACAAACCGCATATCACGAATAAGTTGAAGATAATCTACATAGGGATCATTTCGATCGATAACTCGACGTCCTTTTGAGTGATGTTGTGATTTTTCCGATTACTGTTAAAGTTCATTAGTTGAACGGTTGTAATTGTGATTGCAAAGCAGGTTATCTTTGCAAGGGAAACTGAGGTCCTCACCTATCGTCAATTTCTTTCGGCCTCACAGTCCGAACAGTATATTTTTCCCACTTGACAATCACTTGGTTGAAGTAGAGAAGTTTGCAAATAGATCCAGTGCTTTCCAAAGATAGGACAATTAAAATATTGAGAGTCAATCTTGATACTGGATGACCATTCAGAAGGGGGCAACGGAGCAGGATTTATCGCAGTTGTTGAGGTCAAGCAGAAGTTTCATTGCCATTCCTATCATATTCAGGGATGCCACTCCATTTCCGATCTAAGCAAATAGAGTAAGTTCAAAAAATGCAGACGGTCGCTAACTCACTCGAGTGGATACAGGCATTCCTTCATCATTGTCTCTGACGGAAAAATTTTGTGACAAAGTCAATACCCAACTGATAAAGTGATCGAGTTTCGGGCAGAAACATAGAGAGAGCGATACCTCACAGAGAAGTTTATAAGAACACTAAAACGTTTACTGAGGCGGTAAGACGCCAGTTGTTTCGCCAGTGCTGGTTTGAAAACTAACAAAGACACGTCCTGAAAGAGCATACTGTTGAACGTTCTGAAACATTGATTCGACTCCGCGTACTATAATCCCCGTGATCCCTTTAGCAGGAAGACACTCTAGTTCACAGAGCCAAGCTCATCCAGAGTGGTGCTGACGCCAGCTAAGCGACTTTGTTAGCAAAAAGGGATGGCCTTCCTGCTCTCAAGACCTTAACCACTTTGACTCCTCTGCATGGTTCCTGATTGTAAGAGAACGATTAGGGTTTGTAATCCTAGTTTGGCGTCTTTGAAACAATGCTAAAGAATGGGGAATGGTTGAGAAGAAATGGAGGGGGTTCCTGCGCGCAACATGCCATTTGATAAAGCCCGCTTCCCAATATTGAGGTTTTAATAATTTTTCGATCATTCCAGGGACGTTTTTGCCTACGCCAAGGGGTCGAAAATCAGTCGGGCTTTACACGTTGTGCGATGATGACGACCGAGGGACCAGGGCGATTACTGTCAGGATCCCTTTGGGACATCAGTCATCGGAACGGCCGCAAGCGTTATGGTCAGACTTCTTCACGAAAGCTCAAACACAAAAGGGATACTCTACCTCGTGTCCCCCAAACGAAGACGATGCACAGAACTACCTTGGCTTGCAGCATGGAGAAATGGAAACCATACCTGTTCCGATCGAGCAAATTAATTATCAAAAGGGTGACAGGTTGGTCAGGAAGGGTTCCATCTATTCAGATGTGTGTGCCGATCTCGGCTTGATGCTTCAGGCCTTCCATAAATACTCCTTGGTCCGCTATGGAGGCTTCTTTTTCTAATAGTTGATTCCATCACCTAGGCTGGCTCCTTCCCATCTATCATCTGAGATTTACGTGAAACTCTGTGATAGGAGCTATCCTGTCTTCGTACCCACTTAACTGCATGTCTTTTCCTTACTTAAGCCTTACGCGAATTCCCAAAAACGACATACCGTGAACGTTCGTATGCATTCCTGCATTCGATGCATTCCTTCGACGTTCAATTAGCCGTCCGCTACCTGCCTCAAGTGATCAATAGAGTAACGGTTGTTCAGTTATCGTCCACCGCTTTTCTACGCTTGTTGGAACAAGTTTTGATAGTCCTATTGGATTTCATGCCAAAAGTGTGTGAAGTAAAAAAAGGTCGAAGTAATATACGCAAGTTGAAGGAAAGGTCACATACTATGGTTAGTTCTATAAAAGGAAAGACACTCAGACGTCAACCAACACAAACCCGATCCGATTTTTCACGTCTCCTATTCCAGCCTATTTAAAGATCAACGTTTTGCACTACCATGTTTCAACTTGGTCGAATCCTTCGAGAGGTGCAACTCTTCCCATGTCTCTTTCGTAGGCAAAATTCCTATAACTGGCTCGGTCACACTCTGCGTTACGATAGTCAAGCCCTCTCCTGAAAGTTTCATTATAATATACCGAAACTAAAGTGGTAACGACTGTGCAGTTGTCTACGGTGCTGAATTCAAGAAAGCAGAGTGCAGTGCTGTAGGAAAACTCTATGAGCATGCAGTTGCTGCTACATCAATAACGACGGCATGACAGTTAACATCTTTCCCAAAACTGAATGAATTTCCCATTTTTCTACTTCCACAGCATTCAAAATTCTCTAACTTTGACTAGTTAAAAGGAAAGACTTTCCAAACGAGCAATTTGAAAAAAATGCCTTAATAGCTAGGATAACCGGAAACCCAATTCTGTTGATTGGTCGTCGATGAAAGTGGCTTGTGCTGTTCACATTCATCGACGATCACCGAAGATTCAAAAGTTGTTGGAAGCAGAGACTTGCGCAAACGGTCCCAAGGGGAGATACAATGGGACATATGAGTAGAGTGTTCTTTCAACTATATCATAGCTAAACGACTGTCTAATAGACTGATCTCGGTGGCGCAGGTGGTCCTTCGTAAGCGTGCACGAGCTAGCACTACTTTACTAACGCAGTATTTGATTGTAGGAATCCCTCTCTTGCTGAGTCTCGACATATCCTCTTCACTTCCATGGGTCGCTCCATACTGCAAGTGGAAATATTTCAGTTTAGAACTAGGTATGGTTTGTAAAATTGGTTGGTGAAATAGATTTTAATTTCTTCGCCATAGCCCCGTAGGTAAGTAACTTAGATTTTGTCTGAATCAGAGAATAAAGCTATTGTTGACCAGTTTTGGATTTTGAGGGTGGGGGTCGCGATACTAGCAAAAAAAAAAATACGTATAGGGCAAAAAAATGTAAAAAATCTAGAAAGCTGTTTTTCATGTGATATTGGATGTGAATAACAGTGATGTGGAGGTTATGGTGAAAAGTGGTGTGCCACCAGGCACATGATCTGTACGACCCATCAACCTTTCCCTTTGCATTGTGGAAGTGCGAAATTGGCCTAGTAGAACAAGAAGGTGACTTAACATCGGGTTACTCTCGAACATTTGTGCAAAGCAAGTACCCGTTTTCAGAAGACACCGTGATTAGGAATGAGGGTGAAGTGAGTTGCCCCTGTTAGAGAAGATGTAATTCTAGTAATTTTCTTTTTTTCGTCTGCAACGTACATTGTGACAGAGACGAGATCTCACTTGTGATTGTTGAAGCAACTGAATATCCGGTATCCCCGCAATCCGAGTTATCTCGACACCACTAAAGAGTTTCGTACATGTTTGCCTATGTACTATTGGAATTTCTCAATTTCTCAAGACTTTTTCCTACACAACGCTTATACTGCTGTGAATTTGAAGAACACGTAAATGTACCCACTGTACTTCAAAGTTTATTACTCAAACTAGCTAAAGCGCAACAATCGGCAATTTGAAGCGGTAATGTGACTGCGGCGCCATTGGGTTTCACTAGTCTAACGTGAATGTGTCCCACCACTTGTACACTAAGACAACACACCATGACAATTAAAGAAATGCAATACCAATTAATAACGAAATGCGATTCCACGAGGTAAGTAAAGCAAGAGTAGGAGTCAGAGCGATCGTCATGCACTATTTTACTGACAAGAGACTCTCTCTATCTCTATTCATAAGTGGGAGCTGGAGCATAAACGTGACACTCTTGTTGGTGAACCATGTGCGAAGCATTCACGGATGGAAAAAAAGCTTCGAATTCAGAAATATGCACATTATTTAATCCTTTTTGGGGTTTCTGATGAAAGAAGTGTAGGGCAGTGTGCATTCGTTAGCTGATGGGGGCTCAAAGTCAGTTTCATTAGGACAAACAGTGAAAGAACTAGTTTGATCTCAGTGGAATTTCCTGCTCACGATGGTCCTTAAGATAGTACAGATATTTAAAATATATTGAACTGTTCTTCTGGTCAAAGCTCTCACCGATAAACTCGCTGGTCCCGTGCAATCATTTCCGCTTCACGTATTGTCGTCTCTCGGTCTCCCACTGCTACCTGAGGCAACTAAGGATTGAAACATAACTGATCTGGTTCAGAAGTACTCGCACTTACCACTGGTTTAACCCGATGAACTGAATCAGAATCGACGGCGTATTGATGCACGTTTCGGCATCCAACGGCGGTGTCTGTCAGCACCGCCTTATCTGTTTCAACTCCAACGCCACGCTTATGTTCAGCAACAGTTCTGATAAAAATACAGAGAATATCTAGTTTTGACTTAAATTCGATACACTCTCAGCTATGTACGAGGATTTTGACTGAAAAGTACAAATAAACCACGTATTTTTTGTCTCATCTAGAAAAGAAAAGGTTAGCCGAAGGTCTCCTGTACAGAATTGCAGGTTTTCAATAGGATTTCTGCTTCTTCAAAGATGCATCCAATTGCTTGTGAATAAGTCCTTAACTCCGGCATGACAATGGAACTGAGAAAGTAACCATTTATCGTTGTTTGAGTGGTCCAAATCAGTTAACCATCATCTTATAGGTTATAGCTTACTTGTATTCTCGGCATTGTTAGTATGCATCCCGCATTACTCCGAGTTTTTCAGATTACATAGGCTCTTTCTATTACGCTTTTCAAGTCATGTAGTAATGCAATGTATTAAAGAGTACATTTTGGATTCAAACAGTGTTTTTATGGTCTATGCAGTTTCTTCCAATATGTACTCTTGCATATTCATATACTCTTATTGCCCCTTGGACGTATGCAACCTGAATCTGTAAGGAACATTTGTTTACTTGCTTGGTTGCTAGTTCAAAGCATACTTCGTATACCATAAGGCAATCATTTGTACATTTCTGGTTCGAAAAGCTTCACGCTCATTGCCAGTAATCCCACTCCTGAATAGGGCTTTACTCCTCTACATATTTAGGTAGGGAAACCGATGAAAATCGGGATTGTTTGTGTCAGCTCATTGTTATCAGGCGTGATCATCCGAATTAATTACATCAATCTCAAACTGAAGTAACATGCCCTCTTTAGCTCCGAACGGAAAAGAAGTTGAAAGCGTAAGACTAGGAAAGTGTCACACATAACTCAGTGGGCGAGAACCACATTCATTGCGAAATATAACTATGTAAACTTTTCCACTTCCTTGCCCTCTTTTCCACTTTTCCGCTGTTTCCACCTCCAACTGTGAGTCTCATTAGTCAAAAGTAAATGAAGCACTCATTCTTCTATTGCGCACCCACATTTCTGATCTTAAAAGGAACTGAGGGAAAACACATCGAGCGTGCACATTGAGATCACAACAGCAAGGAATTAATGCAGGAAACGCTGCTGAAGGTCTCAAGATTACGCGGACATGCTTTTGCCTTGAAAGATGTTTAGCAAACATTACTCAGTTATTTGCAAATCTAAAAATACAACCATGGCAAAAAGGCCTTTTTGTGTGGACATTTAGGAACAAATTTTCCCACTCTGGAGTGGTTGTTGGAGAGCAAAGGTTTCTCCTTCCAGTGGTGGTGACGGAATAGCTTAGCGTGTTCACGATCTGTCTGGAGGAATTGATCATATTTTTCGAAGTACCTGTCTGTACGAGTTATGATGAGGACGGTTACTGAGCTTACTTGCTTTCACACGTACTTTTCGCACTTCCATTTCATATTCCAGCACTGCTCTGTGAAGCGTAGGCAATTGACAGGCTCATGGCAAAAACGCTGAGTAGTCTTTCGTAACCGAACATTCTCGATCATTCACAATTTGTGACTACAAAGCAGCGGAATTGTAACGTTGGGGTTCCAAAGGAAAGGGATTAGGGTTTGACTCACTGAGAATGTTTGAAACTGGCCCAAAGCAAGGTGGTAACTCAGAGAATGGATAAGGCAGCAACTCGAAAGACCTAGAGGAATCACAGAAACTCACAGGCTTTCAAGGAAACAAATTTTTAAAAGTGTAGTATGTGTGCCCTCATTATGCTAAAGATGTGAAAGTCGAAAGCCTTTTCATTGTTTATTCGCCTCAGCATACAGCAGGCATTTAACTCATTTACTTGTCAATGCAGTTTGAGAGCATATCAGATACTGACGTCAGTTGATACTCATAATGGAGACTTTTGTCCCTATAGCTAGGTTGGACGCAAGTGAAGAAAGTGAACCAACTTCCAATAAATGGCCGGGTGGGCTAATTCAATGCCGTTTCTGGCCCGAAGAAACAGTTCTAGTCACTGCACCATCTGTGTCCGCAACGGTTCCATTTCAAAAATTACAGTTTAATTGATTGAATTTATTGAATATTTTCTATGAACTCCCGTATAACCTTTTAAAGGTCCCGGACCTAACTCAAGCACAACCCAACACTATTTAGGTGGGATGGAGCAGAAAAGCTGCAGAAGGCATGAATCGAATAGCTGTTTTCATAGTCCACGATTTGGCAGCAGGTCGCGGTTAGGTCCGGTACCTTTGAAAGAAGCAGCCAATCGCTGACTACATCATCAAGGTATAATACATATTTTGACACACAGTTTTTCATTAGATACACTATACTACGTAATTGTCCTATTCTAGTTACCGAAATCGAAAGTGAATGATTCCCACATCATTTTGTGTCAAGATTCTTCAAAAGCTCGCCAACCCAACATTAATATTTCCGAAACATATAAAATTGGTAAAATATCGTTGCGCTTCATCGGCTGAGCACGTGGTCGTCAGTGAATTATATATCCGTTTCAAGGCATCGCGAACCTTCTTCGCGCTTCTAATTACCCTCCCGTGTACTAGCGAATGAATATACATCTATTCCCCCACTTTTCAGCCTGCCTTTCGTGTAAATACCTAGTCCTACTTCAAGTGATTGTTCAATGCTGGCACAATGCAGCACAAAGGAGAAACGAGCGCATGCAAGGGTTATGACTCAGTCGTAACACTGCTTCAGCGTTGGTGAAATGTAGTCAGAACAACTCATCCGCTCTCTTTGTCACTGTGCAGTCTGTTCTAATGGTCGTAAATCAGGTACTGCTAGAGCTGTCATTTTTGCTGACGTTGTGAGTCAGGATCAGTTCGTCTGTGATGAACGTATGACATGAGAAAAAGAAGTACATCCAAATAGCAGTGTTTGAAGAGACGAAGTTCCCAATAGATACGGTCCTTATGAAAGTTTAAATGGAGTAATTAGCGTATACATGAATGATGGTTCCAGTTGGCAGTCTACGTGCTTATCGAAGGCACAGTTCACAATGAAAATGGTTTCTGAGATATCCCGGTAAGATGATTCTGTGGTCCTTTCGTATGGCATATGTGGCGTTGTCAGATCGGAAAACGGTCTAGGGCACTATAAGGATTCAAGATTGTATTGGCCGTATGCCACACCGAAAGCGGTCGTGTCTTAGCAGCATCGTGGAGGCTGCATCATTCAATAGGGACACCCATGTAGGAAGCCTAAACTGTTATGTTAAGACCCGTGGTGACAGCACAGTGGAAGGCAGCTTAGAACATTTTTGACTCGATGTAGTCAGTGCTTCACCAATTGCAACATTTAAAAACTCGTCCGAATACCTGTTCTATGCTGTTTCGATCATGGCATTCTCGCACGGCTATATTTTCACTACAAGCCTTATTTTTTGCGAAGTTGGGGGATTTCCGCGCCTCTTCGTCACCAATGCATTATTCTGCACTTACACTGCTGCTTTTCCTATCGAAATGACCCGAGTTTCCGCTCGAACCCCGCCCATTGGCCCACTGCGGGCGGAATCCGGCCCTGCCCCATACCGTAAGTGTTCACACCCTGCCTCCTCCTACCGAATTTCAATGCTTTAGATCAGAAAACTCAAAAGGGTACTTCGAAATAATCGTGAAGTAAGCCCTTAAGGTCATTTGCGGGACGCGATAGTCACCACTGAAGGATAAGATACCTACTGATTGGTTGACATAACCGTACTAATTGTTGACTGGACCGTACAAGTAATTAACATTTTACTCAACTCCGAGTTGAAAAGATTAATATGGTAGTAGTATTGATCAGCGTCAGGTCCATCCATTACACATTGTAAGCACAGTGCCGAAGTTTTGTTTTATCCTAATTTGAATGTGAAATACGATCGATGGCATCGCATTGTAAAATCGTGCATTGTTGTCATTGTTTTCTTACTCAGCTAAGTGACGAATGAATCTGCTAGCCGAGCGACACTGCTCGCTATCTGCTATACCAAGATTTTCAACTTTACACTCATTCCTAACCCAAGCCAAAAAGTTGATCGAAATTCAAACTCACGTTGTTGCTTTTCGGCGTTTCCGCCACAATAGGAACGGAATTATGCAAAGTGCCAGGCAACAGAGCAGTAACAGCAGAAGTAAAAGGAGTAGTAGCCACCAAGGAAAATATGACGTTGATGGTCTCGAAGCCACAACTGGAGGTATAGGAGGAGAGGCGGCTACCGGGCACATCAAGGAATGACTTACAAACGGGAACATTGTCAGTACTGGCTGACGCTCGCATGAACGCTTAATAGCATGGATTAGTGTGAGCAGCGATCACGTACTGTTAAGAAACTATACGTAAAGTTGTTGGCTAGAAAAAATGTGCTACATGGCGTTGAGTACAACAGCAAATAAATTCATAAGTTTGCAAAAGGAGGCCTTTTTCTACTGAATTCTTTTTCTCCTAGAACGCCATTACTACAGGTGGGTAAGCAGGCGAATAGTCTAACCCTCCATTGGGGTGAAGCCTTCTTCGTCCTCCTAAGGTTAGCATTCCAATGAAAGAAGGCTATGATGTTTTAATTGACTACGTTATTTAGGTGATGTGGACCAGTTTTGGTAAGAATTCTTAGCTTGAAACGAATCCTTAAGCTGAGGAGAAGGACTACTCTGTATATTAGTAGTATAAACACAAGAACTAACAAAAAACTATTTTTGAGTCGAAATTGATGTGATGTTCATACAAACCTCAGCACATCCACAGCAATTCAGAACTCTAATGTTACAGGCAATGTTCACAATATCCTGTTTAGCGACAAAATGCACGAGCGTTCTTTTGACGGCTCCAGCTCTTGCGTAGTGTTCAGTCTCAATGCTCGTCAATATACCATCACCGCAAAGTACACACCTGAATTGGTCGAAGATGAGGTGTTTGAAACCCGGTTTTGCAGAAGCAGAACCTCTGTGTTCAACTTGGAAACTAGATTAAATGTTCGATAACTGAATATTAAAATTGCATTTATTCGAATCTGATGCGTTTTGTTTTTCAATACGAACTACTTTGAATTGAAGTCAGTGACTGTCCAATTACTAGAGTGCCTAGTAGTGATGATCTTTTTATTTCCTTCGAGCAAAAATGTCAGCCAAGACGAACGAAGCTACGAGTAGGAAGCTGCTTATGGGGTTGACCATTAGGAGTGATGATATCCAAACTTCAAAAAAGAAAGAAATTTGTTGGAAATAGCAAGCAGCATAGCAGTTCTACGAATTGAGGTTTCTTCTGATTAAGGGTAAAGCGAAGTATGGAGGCTAAGGTTGCTATGCGTGGGAAATTTTTCAGTTGGAGGAGCTTGATCGAAAAAGGAACTTGTCCAGTTTATTCGAAAGAGGTAGATTGAAAAGTTTTCCCTCCGATTAACATAAGCACAGATCTGTTTCAAGTTATCGATACCCTCGATACTATGGCTCAACCTGACAAGGTCAAAAGGAGCTGAATTTGCTCGCCCTCTCGGGCGCTTAGCACTTCACTAAGCTGAAGAACCCCTTGGTTCAATAATATCAGCATGACAAAACTTTCTGTTGTACTGGCACTGCATCACTGAATTCACGTGTAAGGAACCATGAAAGTTCATCCCTTGAACTAATCCAGAAACCTTTTCGGATAAAAAGCAGCGCTTTAGTCTGGCCTCGTGTCCCGACGGTCAAATAGTACGCGCTATAAAATATCAATGGTTTTGTGCCAACAATACAACTGTCAACAGAGAAGTGACGCTTTCGTCGTTCAGACTGTCCAAGAATCTCTGCTGACACAGACGGTGACCACTACTTGTTGCTCATAACAGTGTGTTCAAAAAATGATTTTCCAAGTTTTGGCAGTGAATAGTGTGACTCAAAGCAAAAAGATTGCATTATTCAGGCCTTCGGAGAACTTGAATACAGTTTGATTCGACGTAATTGTAAGGACGACTAAAGACGAAATAATGTAGAAATTGCTTTTCAAAATGATATTGAATGTTGCTTCTTCATTCATAGTGCTCTTCAAGTTAAACCAAATCTCCAGCGTCATAACATACTGTAGATTGCTGATAGACTTTGAAATAAAGTTCAGGAATGATAGGAATCAAGAAGAGGAATCGTGAACAGACCAGTATAGAAAACATCTATTTTTGATGATTGTTCTTGATGACTCACTTAGCCGTTTATCAGATTGAATCTGAAGCTCCAACCGCATTAGAAGTAAGAATGAACCATAGACTAATACGAAGCAGAACCTTTGCATGCAGAGTCTCATCACGAGGAAAGCCCGACAGAAGGCGACCACTGTGGGGAAATTTGTAGTGGTAAAAATCATAAACATAAAAAACTCTATAAAGACGATTTAAAGTTGCAGGCCCTCATTGGAAAAATCTACGAGAACGACGAAAATTTTATAGAACTCGGAAGATTATAATCATCAAAGTGAGGGAACTGCCTCTAAGTACTGATGATGAAGACTTTTTCCAAGGCAGCAGGAGAGCGTAAATGCATTTTTCAGAAAGAAGAGAAGCAAGGATACCGACGCAAAGACTCAAATTGGTTGTGGCACTAAACTTGTGTCGAAAAGCAAGGTTTAAGAGGTTCTGTTGACCAAAAACAATCGATAAATGCTTCGAATAACTGTTTGGTTCCGCACGGCGTCACAATCGTCTTTTTTGGAAGCATCATATTATTGACGGAATTGGATCCGGATGACAGAGCTATGTGTTCAGCTAGTGCGTTTTTGTAACTGCGCAGCTCAACCATTCCGCTGATTGCCGTTACTGGACTAGGATGGAGTTCAGAACAGCTTGTTAATGTGAAATAGCAGTTTAATTACAATAAAAACAATTACAACTAACCCAAAGTTGTCAATGAACGTCTTTCCGTTCATGGTACACGACTCAACCATGTAATCTTGTTGTAAGACATTCCCCATCTGGATTTCAAAGGTGTAGGGTTGGCCAGCGACAAAGTGTTGAACAGGGACGTTAGAGGCTGGCTGGTCAATAGATAGGTGCCCTGTAAGAGCGTCTTCAAGAGGTTTTTGCATGTAGTTGAGCTGACCTTTGTGAAAAAAATACAGCTTTTATTCCAGATGGAAACGACGTAACAAGTCATACTTGGCGAGCCAAGTGTTTAAAAACTCTACTGATTACGTACCGTTGAATACCTGAAGAGTTGGAACATTAGCGAGCGCGACAGCAAAAAGTGCGAATAGACCGCTTTTGGCAATCACAGCGTTCATAGTCAGTGTCTCGGCAAAAAGGCGAGACGACGTGTCGGTGGATAGGCCTGCGATCACGCGTCGTGTTACTCGCAACTAAAATGGGCGCGCACCACCACGCCTGCGCCTCCTGCCCACATGTGACTAATGCCTCCCGATGGTTAACATTCCTCGAAATACACACTAACACAAGCAGAGAAATCGTACTACTTATGTGATTCAGACCACATACACATATTGCCGTCTTGCTTGTTCACTTCCCGTGCCGCTCAAAAAACGTGAAGCTATTAGAAGTGGATTCTTTTCAGAATCGTCACTGAAAGTAAAATGCTTCGTCTGATCCTTCTTGTTGGTGAGCTTCAGTATCACCAAATCAGCCCATTCGTACCAGGCATACCCCTGGAACGGACAACAGTTTTTTGATAAAAAGCTAATTTTTTATGTTCTACCGATCTAGATAATCCAGTCAAGGAAGCTGATAGTAACTATCATCGGGATCGTTACCACTTGTGCTTCATCTTAACTTCTGACATCGATTCAGTTAGATACCAGTATTCAAAGGAACTGTTGATTTTCCAAGGTTCATTCTACTTCAAACAGCTACAGCCAGGAATTCGGTATCTACGAAGAAGCAACTTTAAGCCTGCTGTACGCGTCCAATCCTTCACGTACAACAAATTAACGACGCGAACTCTATTTTCAATCTTGCTATCGGATATGTGCCTAAGTCTTACTCATAAGAGTATCTCTTACAAACTATGGCTCCAGAAACGATAGATGGTGATCATTCACAATGTGGTGCTCTGAGCTCTACCATCGAAAAAAGGCTTCTAAGTGTTCATTTGTTTACACAAGAGCAACATCATCTGAATTTGGTTGGGCCATATATACTTTGAATTTTTATACGTCTACTTATATGTATAACATCACAAGTTTGGATAGAAATCAAATATATGGTACATTCCGACTGCAAGGGGTAAGGTTAACTTAGAAAGACGAAATTAAAAGCGGTGAAATAGACTGCATGCTTAGGAGTATAGCGTTGAGAAGAGGTAGCTAAAATAGGAGAGCGACAAAAAAGAAGTAGGCTCTAGGATAGAGAAACTGTACGCTGAGTTCGATTCAGTGAATTTATTATGGACTTAGGGATTGAATCAGCCTGCCTCATTTCATTGGAGTATAGGTTCAGGTTAGCTATGACTGCAGTCTGGAGAAGACGGCGAACGAACAGTGAGGATCAATCGAGCAAGCGCTGCATTGAGGCAATGAAAAGAATGGGAGCGGAGAAACCTATATATGAACAGCTAGACTTAATTGCTCATCTGTTTCATTTCGTTATAAGATTCAATAAGTAGACAAGAAGCAGGTGTTTCCCTTTATGTGAAGAAAATGCGATGTTAAATGGGACGTGATGTCCTCGGAGAAATTAGGGACTATAGTTTCAGTGGAGGAATCTTGGTGAAAGTGGTAAAGATTTGATACATGTAGATGGTGCAGGGCCTAAATGAGCAAAGCATAATGTTGATGTTACCACCCTGATTTGCCTACACGTTAAAAACGAGTTTCCCTTTAAAATGAGGAATATGAAAAATGTGACCAAACTGTAATGCGAGTGGAGAAGGCAAGAAAATAACAAATTGGTCGATAGATGAGCGCCATGTAGGTACTGGGACACATTAACGAATACGAAGGCTTTTAGGAAGAGATCACGATTTTCATTCTCAATGCGCAAAACCGTTCTTCAACTATCGTATCGTCATTCATGTGTAGCACCCACTTCAACTGTATCAAATGGTCCTGAACGTGTGGCAAAGCAGCTACCGAAAAAGGAAAGCCGAATAGCACATGATTAGAGCCTCGTTGTTCTTCATTGACCGTCATTGATTGTCCAAGTGCTCGAGACTGGTCTACTCGCTAGTGTTTTTAGTATGAGCTTATCTTATCCATACCTTCCCCATTAAAATGTGTTACTATCCACTCTACTGGCCACTTTCCGTTTGTGGGCTTCCCTTCACTATTTCCAGTCACGACTTCTGCTCTTCTTCTACGATCGATTAGGAGCGGAACTCGGAATTGCTGAGCGAATATAATCTTTCAAAATCCTGAAATAATGAAAAAGAGGGTCTTCTATAGTTTCCCATCAATATATCCAGTACTTTTCTCGCTCCCTGCTTTCCTTTTTAAGAAGGGTGGGAATGATTCATGTGGAAGACCAACAAATTCTTCTTGAAAAAATCATTGTTTACTCTTCTCTATCGAACAATAACAGGGTTGCATCACACTATCCAAATGGTAGGGCCAGGGGGAAGGATTTTTCTGAGGTGAACAGAAGAGCTGTGGTCATACGGGAGAACTACTGCTGGCTGCCTCCTGTAAGAAATAAGGTTCAATCGCAGACAATAGTTGCAAAGCTTCTCAAAAATATGGTGATTTGAGCGGTTTATAGCTTTAAAAAATGTTACATCAAGATAATCTTTTACAGTTTAACTTCCAATATTTCGACAGAATCACAAGGACACGTCACCTACATAAAGGGTTGCTTAAAGATATGGAACTGATCCAAGTCTACTATTATATTTACAAAATTCGCTAACTTCCTGCGTGGAGATGAAACATTTGTAATATTCTATCCGTGAGGCCCTATGTGCGAAGCAATCTTCGGTTAGCCTCACCATTGAAACCTAAATGTACTTTACCAAAACATTACTGTTCACAAGCCTTCATTTTTTCACTTTCTTCCTTTCCTATGTGTACGACTTGTCCTACTTCGATCCCTCTTTTTTGCCAATCATCGCGAATGGCACATCATGGAGAGGGCAACGCGGTATTTTCGGATAAAAAAGTTATCCTAAGAACCGTGGTAGTATTACACACTTATTTACTGCAGTTTTTCGTTTGCAAAAATTGCGACTACACTGTAAAGCGCCAATCTGGGTAACCTGCTTACAACACTAAAAAATTCTTGCGTACTGAATGCCCAACTACCCCTGAACTCAGAAATAGAGTTACTAAAATGGTCATTATATCAACAGATCGCTTAGCCGATTCAGCTGTTCACTTTAGTTGGTAAGACTCGTCTGGACTGGCCACCGCAAGCCATTGTATAGGCCTCCAACACATTCAATATGCCACTACGATCCTGAATGGAAGTCGGATACGTGGGCGCATCCCTAAGGCGCGATTGATTAAGGCCTCGCGACTTTTACTATCTTTTTACTGTTCATTAGGCTTCTTTCGTACATTACTGCAACCTCGTTGGGTACTGACGGGCAAAGAGTGTAAGTAAACCTTGAGAAAGGTTCGATTCCCTGGGTGACACAATCGTCACAGCTATGAAATACTTTTGGTGATGCAGGTGATGCATATATACTGCCCACGATCTAAAGGATTGAAGTTGCTCCAGCCCGCGAAGCCGTCTACTTTTAAGCTTTGGCTTCTCAAACAGAACATAATCCTTTTCATGGATTTCGCTGTGGTTCGCTTCTTCGATAATCGTTTCAGATGGTAGAACGGACATGTGAAAGGAAAAAATGGATATTCGACAAGGATCGCTATGATTGACGACGTCACCGAAAACGGAGAAGTTGGGGATTAGTCACGATTACGTGCAACTGGTTAATTGACGTGGTTATATATGTATGTGAGGGCTTCACGGAAATAGCTCTTTTATCCAAACGGTATGTACCGCTATGGTTGGAGTCTTGAGTGTCTTTTTTTTTTCGAGGATTTCTTCGACTTCATTCACAGCAACTGCTTTTAAATCTGATCGTGTCAGATTATTTGTCTTTGAGAGTAGGCCTAAGCATTTCAAGAAGCTGAGAATAAGAAGCTACAGGAAGAGATACTTTCTCGGTGCTCTACTAGTTTCCAAAAGCAGATGTAAGTAATTGAAAAAAATATGCCAAGACCAGCTCAACGTTCATTTGAGACATTTATAGTTCAACTTTATTTCGCAAACGTTGCGAATTCCCATCCAATTCAGAAATAGTAACAGTGTGAATATGAGAGTAACCGTCCAAAATATTGAACCCAAGAATAAAAATGAAAAGCTTATAAGTTTGGCGGAAAGCTTAAAAATACTCAAGCGATCGATTGTCTCTTGAGGTGGGTTGAATGCGTTCAGGGTAATCATGCTCATTTGGGAACACTAGGCTTCGAGAACCGTTTTTTAAATTCAATTGTTGAATGAGGGATGGATAGCGATAATCTCCAAGCTTCCGGTCTCTGAAGAAGGCGGTAACGACACAACGTAAGTTGATAAGAGCTTATTTGTTATCTTCGAAACAACTTTTATAGAAAATGTCTCATAAAATTAATTCGAAACCATGCCAAGATTCATGGAGAGTCGATTGTGGATACCTATGGATAGCTCTGTTCAGATGTGCTTAAGTAAGTCGAAAAAAGTAAACCAAAGCTCTAAAAGCCATGTTGTCAAACCTCTAAGATAGGCGAGGTTTGCAAGAAGGTGGGCTAGGCTAAAATTAGAAAGTCCACGACTCTACTCAGAAAAAAATCCCCAGTATCGTTCTGTTTATGAAGACATTATTATCACTTCCTACCCATAAAACTATCATCAGTACTCACTATTTGTAGGAAGAATTCACTTTTGCCTGCTAGTAAAGATAGGCGTCACCTGAGAAACAGTATAGTGAATAATAAGAAGTGTTATTTAAGGAGAAAGGAGAAATGGCCACTCCTAGAAAGAAGATTAGCAGAAAATGGCAGCACAGGTCGGGAATTCATTGGATCGTAACGATGATGAGTGCCCATTCCGGATCTCTTCCAAGTCAAGCAAACAACACAGTAGGTAAACATTTCGAACTGCTCTTCGTATTGGCGTTCAAAAATGTCTGCACAGCTGTATCCGTAATGCAGTATGGCTCATTATTAAGCCAGAAGTATTGTATACACGATGCTAGGATCCTTGTACCATGCAAGGTTTTAAGGCGGATCAATTCATCGGGATCGGCGGCCCAGTAGTGCTTGCCTTCCCTAGAACCAGTGTTCCACGTTGAAGTTCACAAAATCCTCTTTCACTCACTGGTGACATTAGACGATAATGTATTCCACTGAAATACTATTAATTCACCGTGTGAGCCCACTGTGCCTATCTGTGTTTATTCCTCGAACATTCAGAGCGAGAATAGTGATATTCACAGCACATTTAGTGCGTTAAAGATTATTCAACTTGGAATTGTGGAGGCGCTTGAAGTTTGAGTTTCCAGATAGCGAATTTGTCCTACAGAAGCACAGAATCAGTAAGAAGGGTCATTCTTGTGCGAGTGTTATCATTTTTAGGAAAAGAAGCTGTAAGTACTATCGAGGCTGTCCGAAACCGTGGTCCTGTTTAGATCTATCAAGTGTATGGGCATACAACGTTGGGTATATTCTCGCT